TTAAAATGACACTGATGATTGATTATTTTGCTAGTTATCTACGTGTGTCAAAATCGTAAATGTTTGTTTATGAAATTTAGAATTAAGTGAGGTAGAATTCGCCGCTGGAAGGAGATGGGAGTGGGATGAGTAAATTGATGAATAGGTTGGTGAGTAGATAAGCAGACAGATGAAGGGGGGAAATGGGTTGATAAAGAAAGAGACGGGTGAATAAGGATAGGGATTGATTAATAAATGGAGATGAAAGGGAGTGGGTGAGTAAACTGATGAATAACTGGCTGAGTAGATGATTGGCTAGATAAATAGACGCAGAGATGGATGAATAAAGGGAGAGATATACGAATATGTGAATAATTAGGTTGGTATGCAACGTACAAGGGAGTATATAGATAAAATGATGAATAGCTTGGTGAGATGATGAGTAGAAAACTGAACAGAGCAGATGAATAAAGGAAGAGGTAGATGAATAATAGATGGGTAGATTAATATACAAGATAACGAAGCTAGAACTCGTAGTTGACAAGAAGGATAAGAGAGTGGATAAATCTATAGACAGATAGATTTATAAGATGATGCAGAGATTGATGGTATATATATATATATATATATATATACGAGTAGATCACGTTTCTAAAGGAGTGAGTAAGAGATACGGATAGACAGACAAACAGCCAACAGAGGACGTCTTAAAGATGGACGAATAGATGAATTGATCGCCAAATTGGCATTCAACGATGAAAAATGCATTAGGTTATGATTTTGTAAATGTGTTGATGGCCAGAAACCATTTACAGGTACTTAATTCCATAAAATAACTGGATAACCAGCATGATGAAATTATGAAGGGAAATTGACATATGTAATAAAAGTAGTAATAATCATGTTGGAGATAATACAGATTATTATAATCATACTGCTAAAAATGATCAGAATGAAGACAAAAACAATGAGAAAAAATGACGATTACATTATTAAAATCAGTCTAAATATTCAAAATATTCAAGTTCCTTAAAATATAATATTTCTAAAGTGTTCAAAATGCACAAAACTGAAATAGACAACATATCCAAAATACTCAACTATGAAATGATCAAAATACTCAAAGCACGAGAATTAACATAATGTCTTAGCTGTCCGTACATGACATAAGAAATTCGGATAATTTCGGGGCGAATCCCTCCTACTTCCATATCACCAGTATTATTGCTGTCATTAATAGTTTTGATATGAAAGGAAACTGGTTAGAAAGCTTATTCAATTTTTGTAATCATTACTCTTAATCCAGATTTATAGTTCATGAATTGAAGTACATAAAGCAGGTATTTTATCGTAACTTATGCCGAATGTTTAGAATATAAGTATTAAGTGGTTTGATCTCAAAATACTGTCTTATAGGTACATAATACTATATAAGGTTATATGAATTATATAATGTTGTATACATCAAGGTAGAATGTGCTAAATGAAATCCTGAAATTTGTATATGATCTTCTGTAAATGCATTACATATCAACATGATGTATTGTTCAGGAAAAATAATAATGAATCCTTTAGTTTAAGATGAAAATATACGTTTCTTGTACAGTTAATTAACAAGATAGAAATGACAAAAACAAAAGACTGACAACAACAGCAATAATGAATAAGCAATAATCACAACAGCAACAGCAATAATAACATCACTTAACCAATGATAACAATTAGAGTAAAAAGACAACGACAACAACAACAAACAGACTCAACCGCAACCAAGTCTCACGATTAAACTTGTTTATTCATGACCCATTCATAAAATCTGCCATTGACGCCGCCCATGTATGTCTCTGGTCCCATGGGCTTGAGACATTGTTCATTCCGAGCGTATAAATGCAGACATTGCGTGGGCGCTATAGAATACACATGGAAGGTCCTCTTATGCATGGGTTTCGTTGCAAATTGCAGGCGTGGGAAAGAGGACTTCAAGAAGGGGTTAGTGAACTTTGCCGTTTTGTTATGAGTCCCAATGGTGGTTAGTTTTGGTGGTGTTGATGATGGTAGTAATGGTGATCATTGCTATGATGATGAATACTGTTAATGATAATATGATAGTGGTGGCGGTGATAGTGACATAACAGTAAAATTGGGTTGATAGTAATTATTATGATAATCATTATTGTATTGATACTGATGATATTGTCCCTAATGATTGATGTGGTGATAAGGTAGTATTATGAACGATAATGATGATAAAGTTGTTAATGATGATAGTGATCTTGATACTTTAATGATGATAATCTATATCATCATCAACATTATTAATATTGTTATTTTTAGTATTATCATTGGTATTATTTTTTTTATTATCATCATCATTATCATTAGTATCATACATATTTTTATTATAGTCATTATCATCATTGTCACTAATTGCAGTAGTAGTAGCAGTGATATCATTATCTTAATTATCATTGCTGTATATTACTACTATTGTTATTATTATTATCATTGTTGTCATGAGCAGTAGTACTCATGACAGTATCATCATTGTCACTAATTGCAGTAGTAGTAGCAGTGATATCATTATCTTAATTATCATTGCTGTATATTATACATCATTATCTTTCTTACTTTCATATTTATCATTATTGTTGATAGCACTATTACTGTCATTATCAATAGTATCATTATTATCAATGTCTTCATTAATATTATCATCCTTATCGTTACTATTACTATTATCATTATGATTACTGTTGTTATTACTATTAGAATCAATATTACTTTTATTATCATTATCATTATTACTAATATTGTTATCATTATCACCATTATTGATATTGTTATCATTAGTAGTAGTAGTAGTAGTAGTAGTAGTAGTAGTAGTAGTATTGGTATTATTAACAGTCTTGTTGTTATTACTATAATTATTACTATCATCATCATTATCATTATTATCAATATTGTTAGTATTAGTATCATCATTACTGCCATTAGCATTATCATCATTATTATCATCATTATCCCTGTTATTATTACAAATATCATCATCACCATAAACATACTCATGATAATGATTATTGCAAAAACAGTAATAACACTAATAACAATAACAACGATAAAGTCATCACCATCATTGTCAACACTACCGTCACCACAATAAATCATCGTCATCACCATAAGCCTTCAGTGTCATGTCATGTCATGTCACGTCATCTTCACCTATCCTGTCCTCGTCATATATATTTCAGGCCCGAAAAATAAGCCACGAATGAAATCACCAGCAACGAAGAGAAGCCATTGCCACATTACGAAAATGTATGCAACGAAAAAAAAGTAAAAAAAAAAAAAAAAAAAAAAAGTTTTCTTAAAAAAAATCTTTCTCAACAAAGAAAACTTACAGAGGTCATGATCTTTTATTCTGGGAAGAACTCTGAGTGCACTTTTAAGGAGAGAGGGGGGAGGGGGGAGGGTGAAGGGGAAAGAAAGGGTGGGAAAGAGAGACAAGGAGATAGGAAGGAAGGAGGGGTGAGAGGGAGAGGGAGAGTGAGGCAGGAGAGAGGGAGGGAAGGGAAGGAGAAATATATATATATATATATATATTATATATATATATATATATAGAGAGAGAGAGAGAGAGAGAGAGAGAGAGAGAGAGAGAGAGAGAGAGAGAGAGGAGAGAGAGAGAGAGAGAGAGAGAGGAGAGAGGGAGAGAGAGGAGAGAGAGAGAGAGAGAGAGAGAGAGAGAGAGAGAGAGAGAGAGAGAGAGAGAGAGAGAGAGAGAGAGAGAGAGAGAGAGAGAAGAGAGAGAGAGAGAGAGAGAGTGAAACGAAAGGGGAAAAAACGGAAAAAGTAAATGAGAAAGACAAACCTGACAAACTGATCCACAGATGTATATAAAAAAAAGTATGAAGAAAGAAAAAGCAGTACAAATGAAGAGAACAGAAGAGCCACATAAAAAAGGCAAGAAACACAAAGGTCGAAATAATAACAGACAGATAAAAAGAATCTGAAAAGGACAAATAGAAGATAAAGGCAGCCTTGCTTTACACAAACGGTCCCTGCTGCTCGTCCGCCGCATCAGTCTACCGGCGGGACCGTCGTTCACATCCATCTCCGTCGGGGAATTCACTGGACCGGAAACTATGACTGTTTCATGGCGCGATTCTTTTATCTACGTCATCTCCCGCACGCTCACACACATGTACACACACACCCGCACACACCCACGCACCCACACACCCAAACACTCACACGTGAACGCATTTCCAAAGAGTTTAGGATATGAGTACGTATGTAAACTCGTTCGTTCACATACATAAACATACAGACCCACTTAACACACGTATTTATCCCTTTTCCCATCTAGCTATCCACTCACTTCCTTTACACACACACACACACACACACACACACACACACACACACACACACACACACACACACACACACACACACACACACACACACACACACACACACACCACCACACACACACACACACACCATATATATACACCTCAACCCCATACCCAATAGATACACCCCACCCCCCACTCCCAGATCCCCCACATACCCCCATATAGATATACACACCCAAATACCCACCCACACACCCCATCCACACCCATA